CCTTTCTGCACCTTTAACTCTGTCATTAGCTCCCTCCCACGAAATTAAACTGTGACAGTACATATTATGATTTCAAAAATGCCTTACATGACCCCTGAGTTGTGGCAGCATTTAATCCCAGCATTCAGGAGGCAGAAGCAAGTGAACCTCTTACTTTGAGACCAGCCTGGTTTATATAAGGGGCTTCAGGACAGCCAAGGCTACATAGTAAGACTCTATTAAAAAACAAAACAACCACCACCACCCCCACCAGCCCAAAACCTTAAATGTTTCTTTTGTACCTCCTTTCCACAATTTAGAGGACTCTTTGTTCCTTAATTTCTCTAATCTCATTGGAGAAAAGCCTCTGATTGCTGTGATACTGGCTCTGTGAATGTGCTGGGGCCTTCTTGGCTGTAGATGGCTTAACACGTTTGCCCGCCTGTGTGCGCTCGAGTGTGTATGTGTGTGTGTGTGTGTGTGGTGGAGGGCTAGGGTGTCTGAAAAATCAATGAGCACTAAAGCAACCCAGAGGCTTTCAAATTGTCTTATGCCCAAGAAGAATAAAGAAATTTGGACAAGGGTGAGTAGAAAAGCTTTATTAAAGAAAAATGAGAAAGCTCCTGGGGAGACATTATGTTTGCACAGTGTGGTCTCTTACGGATTTTATGAACTGGGTGGAGACTTCTTTTTAAAATTTTATTTTTATTTTATGTGTGTTGACCTGCTGTATTGCTTGTGGAGGTGTCCCGAGCAGGTTACTCTTATCTGTTAAGGGGTTAGAATCCCCCGAGGGGAGAGGAGCGACAGGTCTTGCTCCACTCAGGGATCGTATACTGGATTTGACTGTGAGACCATCAGCTCCTCGAGAGGAAAGAGAGAGTATGCCAGAGAGTCAGAGGTTTTGGAATTCAGTTACTCCTTTAATGCACAGCAAGCAATATATTATTATCAATGTAAAGGCTATTGCTACAACAAGATATTGTCACATTTCCTATGTATTGCCTCTACCAATATGTATAATAAACACAAATAATAAGTTGCTAATTACCAAAGACATAAGCATAGCAATAAACACATCATTCATTCATGGATTATACGACCTGAGTCCTTATGCTGGTTTTGGGTTACAGGTCCGGAGTCTGGGAAGGCGGGGTCAGGCTGTGGCTTCCAGATAATTTGACCTAGTAGGGTGCTTGACCACGAGGAAGCTGGAGGCATTGGTCTCTCAGTTAACTCTTTGATGACCGGTTTCTGAGGCTTTGTCCGGAGGATCACGTTCGCCAGTCATGGCTACAAGTGTGAATGAAGTGCTCTGATCGGGCTTCTCTTTTATGTTGGATTTGGCGTTACTCTTGACGTACATGGCAGATAACCACTCGTGTCTGGTTATCTCAGCTCAGCTTCATTTCCAGACTTGTCTTTACAAGTACCAGACATGTTTTTACAAGTACCAGACTAATCTCTACAAGTTTCCTATTACAAAATGGAGTTGGTCCTGTTTAAGGGCCTGCTCCTTACAGGAGGCCAGGCCATGATGACACGGTTTGAGCCACCTTAAGGGTGCCGGGAACCAAACCAAGATCCTCCGCAAGAGCAGCAAATGCTGTTAATTGCGGAGCACCTATGACAGAGGCAGTCATTATTGAGACTGGTCATGTTTGCGAGCAAAGGGCTGAACCAGTGAGACTCCTTACTCTACATTCCTAAGCGGGCTCCTATTAGGAGTATGTGCAGGGACCTCAAAGGAAGAGAACGGTACTCTGACTGGAGTGTCTGAACAACACAGACCTCACTTTTGATCAAGGGGGTGTCCCTGGGATAGCGAGCACAGAGACAGGAGGCACGCTTGGCTCCTCCTCTTCCGCCTCGTCCTCCTCCCCTTCCTCTTCTTTTTTATTTTTTAAAAAATTGTTGGTTGTTTTTTCTTTCTTTCTTTTTTTTTTTTCGAGACAGGGTTTCTCTGTATAGCCCTGGCTGTCCTGGAACTCATTCTGTAGACCAGGCTGGCCTCGAACTCAGAAATCTGCCTGCCTCTGCCTCCCAAGTGCTGGGATTAAAGGCGTGCGCCACCACTGCCCGGCTTTTAAAAAATTTTTTATTTACTTTTATTTTATTTTTATTTTTGCCAGACTGAAAATAAGGCCAAGTGGATTAAAAGACAATTACAGAAGCAAGAGACAGAATCTATGTAGTCTTGGTGATGTTCCGTGGGTGTGTGGAGAGGTAGGGGGAAGGGGACGTCTCAGCCGGCTCATGCAGAGGGACCTGAGGGACCAGTCACACACAGGTATAGCATAGAATAGAGTTTATTCAGGGCATGGGGAGGGGAGCTAGGAGGGTAGTAGAGGCAGAGAGAGAGAGAGAGAGAGAGAGAGAGAGAGAGAGAGAGAGAGAGAGGAAGGAGTAGAGTAGAGGCCGGCCATGACCACATGGAGAGAGAGGGAAGGAAAGGGGGAGGGGCGAGGGGACAGAGAGAAGCTAGAGGCAAGAGATCAAGAGAACAAGAGAGCCAGAGAGTAAGAGAGAGAGAGGAGGGGGCAAGCAGCCCCTTTTATAGTGGGCAGGCCTACCTGGCTATTGCCAGGTAACCATGGGAGCATACCTGGCTGTTACCAGGTAAGTGTGGAGGTGGAGTTTAGACAGAATACTAACACTTGGCCGTCTGGGGACTTTTTTTTGTGCCCTGGCACCTGTTCCCCTCACCCTGTATGCTAGCTAGGGTCTTACCTCCAGTCTTATTTGATTGTCTAGTCTTAAAGGAAATATCAGCAAAGAAAATGAAGAGAAGGAGGAAGAGGTTGTCCACTTCAGTCTCTTAATTTTCTTGAATGCAGCGGGGTCTTTGTGCTAAAAAAAAGGTTTTACTGGTTGTTTTGTGTGTGTGTGTGTTTTAAATATTTGAATAGAAGTCTTTCTTACAAGGTGGGGGTAATGAAAATGTTTTAATTTCTTGTCCTAAACAGACGTTTATAGTATCGGATAGAAAGGACTCATAGTTAATATTTCTAATATCCCTTTACCCGGTGCCTCATCCATCCACAGAAGGGAGTTGACTGATTCTAGATCCTTCAAGGGACTTCCTCTGATCCCCTAATGGGACACTGCTGTTTATAAAGCCGATGCCCTCTGAGAGCCGGGATTGTTTCTTTGATTGCTGTGTCTTCAGAGTCACTACTGTAAGGACCACACGAAAGATAGTCAATAAACACATTGATCTTACTTGATTTGATAAGAATGGGTCCCTGGAAACATGCCAGACTGAAAATAAAGCCGAGTGGATTAAAAGACAACTACAGAAACAAGGGTGAACAAGTAGTCAGATGAGGACCCAGGCTTGGCTGCTTTTCATACCAAAGAACTTTCATACCAAAGTTCCAGTGAGTCAGAGGGAACCAGAGTGAGTCTCACCCAGGTTTCTGATGATTTTGAAAAACTTTATTTCTTATTAATTTGTTTTTAAAATTTAAGTTACATTTATTCAGAGAGAGAGAGAAAGATTGAGTGTTGTGGAAGAGGTCAGAGGGCAACTTGCAGGAGTAAACTCTCCCAGCGTGGGGGAAGTCCTGGGGGTCCTAGGTTTTAGCAACTGTTGCCTTCACTTGATTTATCTTCCTGGCCAATAATCCCTTTGTCTCAGTCTCACAAGTGCTGATATTACCGGCATGCCGTCAGCACACCAAGCTTTTAATATTATTGGTGTGTGTGTGGGAGGGGGAGGGTTACTTGTACCTCCCTCTTGTGGAGTTCAAAAACATCACGGCGCACACTTTTACTCCTGCACCGTGTCTACAGATTTTAAAGAAAGGTTTATTTCCCCTCTGATCGGTGACCGCTCCATTCATTTCGTAGTGCTGAAAGGAAAGCCCCTTTCTTTTTCTAATTGGGGTCTAGGATTTAAGGGCCTGAAAATTAGCGGAGAATACAGATGAGACAAACAAAATACAATTGTCCTAAAGAAAAGTTTTAAAGTCTCAATTTAACAAGGGGAGGGGGGCCGAAGAGCGGACAAGGTTTGTGTGTGTGTGTGTTTCACAAGAGAGTCTGGAAGGACACATGGAGCTTTTTTTATGCTAATAGTCTGGAGCAGCTGAATCTTCCGGAAGCTCCCTGGGGGACATGGGTGGCTCTTTAATTTCGTCAGCCTTTGCTTTCCTCAGAGGAAAATCTAGTTAATATTTCTTTCTGTCTCTACCGTAGCTCTACGGTAAGGTAAGGGTTTACCTTAAAAAATCAGCTTCATGCCAAGTGGGGGAGGAGGAAATCTGAAGACATTCTAAGAAATTGGCTTGGAGAACCAGAATTGGAGATTTTAGTTAGGAAGGCCAGAAAGGATCAAAGAGTGGGTCTTCAGATTGCTCTGGAGAAGGCTACGAAACCAGGGAGAGTAACAATCACCGCCCTCTAAGAGGGGCTCGGCACAGCGCAGAAAGCCCGTAATCCTAGATCTGGTGCCGCGTTCAGGCCGGGGAACAAACTTTGGAGAACCTCACGGTCCTCCGAGCTCCACCTGTTCCTTCAAGTTATTTCCTCACGTGCGGAGTTCGGATAATATCCACGTCCTGCGGTGGTGGCGAGCGTTGACGACACTCGGGCCGAGCGTCCCGCTTACAGGAAGCGCTCACCAGGTCTGCTCTTTCCGGGGCTGGGTGGGGCGGATTTGAGGACGCTTCAAGTGGGCTCCCCAGGATGCGTCACTCGCCTCTGGCTTATCAAGACTCCACCCGAGCCTCGGGGACGTCTTTACTTCCTCTCTTCCTGGTAGCAGCCTCGCAGTCCCGAGCTCGGAGGACCTCACGTCCAGCCTGGAACCGAGGGTGCGGCGGTGCGGCGGACCTGCCCGCGTAACGTTGCTTGCTTTCCATCCGCTCTCCCGCGCGGCTGACTTTAAATCTAACCCCAGGACCCGGTCGGTGAGGTCGGGCCTTGCGACGCCACCTCCGTAGTTGGAAAGCGAAACCGCTCTGCTCTACGAGCGGCACCGCCCGCGTCCGCCCCTGGGGCCGCGCGTAAGTTTCGATTCTCCGTGAAGGCGAGTCCCGCGCAGCGGCCCGAGCGGCGGCAGCCATAGCGCGCCATGGCCGATCCCGGGGTGTGTTGTTTCATTACCAAGATCCTGTGCGCCCACGGGGGCCGCATGACCCTGGAGGAACTGCTGGATGAGATCAGGCTCTCCGAGGCGCAGCTCGTAGAGCTGCTGGAGGCGGCGGGGCCCGATCGCTTCGTGCTATTGGAGACTGGAGGCCAGGCCGGGATCACTCGGTCGGTGGTGGCTACTACTCGAGCCCGCGTCTGCCGTCGCAAGTACTGCCAGAGACCCTGCGACAGCCTGCACCTCTGCAAGCTTAATCTGCTCGGCCGGTGCCACTATGCACAGTCCCAGCGGTGAGTGCACCGGGGATGGGGAAGGTTCTCTACCTGCATGGCCAGGCACTGCGCGGCTGCTTCCTAGGGGAGGCCAGAGCCGGTTGGATATCGCTCACTCCGCTGCAAACCCCTTCTCCCTCTCTCATAACCTCTAGGCCAGTGGTTCTCAACCTTCCTAATGCTGTGACTCTTTAATACAGTTCTTCAGGTTGTGGTGACCCTTACCCCCACCATAAGATTATTTTCGTTACTACTCCGTAACTTCTAATTTTGCTACTGTTCTGAAACGTGATGCAAATACCTGTGTCTTCCGATGGTCATATGCGACTCCTGTGAAGTTTGACTCCCAGGTTGAGAAACCGGTAGTCAAAGCGCGATTGGAGAGGCAGACAAAAGCTACCTTCCTACCCTTCTCGTCGCGCACGAGAATCCTCATTAAAATACTTTTGGGCCAGACAGAGTTTGTAGAAGTTGCAGGTACACCTTTTTCTCCTTGCTACCCTGGTACCCCGAGTGTTGCAATTGCCCCAGAATCCTAGCCGTGCAGTTCAGTTTCCTGTGTCTCCGGTGCACTAACTCCCGGGTCGCTGTGACCCTTCACTCTGTGTCTCTCAACTAGCGGCCAGGCTGCTCCACCTGGCTAGATAGATAACCAAAGGTGTAGTGGTCTCAGCCTTCTTCCTAGTCTGCGTGGTGGCCCGCACAGTGACCCACCCACCCCTTCTTACGACCCACTCTCTCAAATTGCATGAAATAATGTGGTTTAACTTCTCAGGCAGCTGCTTCTGTTCCTACTTGGTCCCTTCCTTCCTTCCTTCCTTCCTTCCTTCCTTCCTTCCTTCCTTCCTTCCTTCCTTCCTAAATATTAGCGTTTCCAAGCCTTGAATAGAGCCTTTTATTTTGCTGTCTTTCAAATTTCTCCAAGACAGGGATCACTTTCTTAGGTTCACCTGTCATCTCTACCGAGATGATTTCCAAACACGTAGAACCTGAGCAGCTCTGCTGTGAATCCAGCGTCTCCATCCAGGGTCTGAGGAACCAGTGTCTTACTCACATGGGCCAAACTCCCTCAAAGCAGGCTCTCCAACCTTATCCGGGACGTCACACCAGTTTATATAATTTCTAATCCCTTCTGCCCTTTCCTCTTCCTGGTCTCACTTCTGAGTGTTTCAGAAGCAATGAATGGTTGGTTCTTCTAGGCTATCTTATTTCCAAGCTTTTGTTGTTGTGGTGGTGGTTGTTGTGGTTGGTGGAGGTAGTACTAAAGACTGATTCTAGGACCTCCTACATGCTCCCCAAGCTCTCCACCACTGGAGCCTTTAAAAATCTTTTTGAGCCAGAGTTTCACCAACTTGCCCAGGCTGGCCTTGAATTCCTGAAGTTAGCCCTTAGCTTGGTTCCTCCTGTTGCTCAGTCCCAAGTGGCTGAGATTTCAGGTCTGTACTGCCAGGCCCAGGCTTCTGTCTGTGGAGAGTCTTTTCCACACTTTGTTGATTCTTAAAAACTGTGAGTGTTGCCCTGTTTTGGAATCAGTGTGATCATCAAAAACTTTAATCTTCCACTTATTTATGAGCAAAAAACTCCAGACACTCACATCCAGGGTACACCTCTAGGGCGTGTGTATCGAAACATGCAAAAGAGGAGGGTTTTAAATGCATGAAGTAATATTTTTTTAAAATTGGTAGTTTTTTGGAACGAAAACTCATTTAGCATTAAACATTAAACAGTTATTTAAATGTTTAATGTCATGATGCAACAGTTTGAAAGCCTTTCTGAGTTACAGGAAGTTGTATTTAGAAGACACCATCTAAGTTGCTTGCAACTGAAGAAATTGCCCGAGTAGTAAGAGAAGGAAGTGGTTTGAGGCGGAAAAGGAACATTCTAGCACAGTACTGAGCGCCGACAGGGTTGCTAGCACGCTTTCTGATTCTTTTTTTCTGTTAATTGCCTGTTCTGAGAATTTCTTCAGTAAGTGTTGGCTTTTCGTTGTGAAAGTTTCAGTGTTTTTCTACAGTTCAAAGCATATTAAAACGTGGACGGGGAGACTGCTGGGTCACCATGTACCCATCATTTTGGTTCAACAGTTTTCAAAATGTGGCCTGCCTTATGTTGTGTATTCTACATCTCTGTCCCCCCAATTCCAGTGTTTTATGTTAAAGCTAATCCCAGAGATTATTTACTTCATAAGTATTCAGTATCTCTAACAGGTAAGAACCATATTTCTTTTTTTTTTAAATATTTATTTATTTATTATTTCTGAATATACTGTAGCTGTCTTCAGATCTCATTACAGATGGTTGTGAGCCACCATGTGGTTGCTGGGATTTGAACTCAGGACCTCTGGAAGTGTAGTCAGTGCTCTTAACCACTGAGCCATCTCTCCAGCCCAGAACCATATTTCACTAATATTCTCATTGTATGAGGATCACTTTTTAAAAGATCCCTCCCTCCCCCTCCCCTCTCTCTTCCTCCCTTGACAGAGGGTCTTGCTGTAGTCCAGGCTGGTTAAGAACTCCCTTTAGATCAGGAATGACCTTGAATTTTTGGTCCTCCTACCTCTACCTAATTGATGGAATTACATCCTTGGCACAACTAACCATTGTAGGTTTATGGCGTGATACCGATGGAAGCCAGGACCTCATGCTTGCTGGGAAGCACTCTACCAGTGCAACTACATCCTCAGTCCCTCCCTCAGCAATTATTTTATTATCAGTTAATCTAGTATTCAGATTCTCTTGACTGCCTTAGTAATTAAACTTGTATTTTCAGGATAAAACACCTGTATAGACATAAAACATAGTTACTTTGATGTGTATCCAATATGCATTTAAGTTTGTTGCACACAACATGTATAGAATTTTTAGCTTTATGAATTTTGTTGTTGTGAATGATTTTTGTCTGGTTTGAAACAACCATTTTTATTCTCTCTCTCTCTCTCTCTCTCTCTCTCTCTCTCTTTTTTTTGGTTTTTCGAGACAGGGTTTCTCTGTGTAGCCCTGGCTGTCCTGGAACTCACTCTGTAGACCAGGCTGGCCTCGAACTCAGAAATCCGGCTGCCTCTGTCTCCCAAGTGCTGGGACTAAAGGCGTGCGCCACCACTGCCCGGCCGAAACAACCATTTTTAACTGCTATGAAACCCTGCATTTTTTGTATTTTGAAAGAACATATATGGGGCTGGAGAGATGGCTCAGTGGTTAAGAGCACTGACTGCACTTTCAGAGGTCCTGAGTTCAAATCCCAGCAACCACATGGTGGCTCACAACCATCTGTAATGAGATCTGATGCCCTCTTCTGGTGTCTCTGAAGACAGCTACAGTGTATTCATATATAATAAATAAATAAATCTTTTAAAAAAAAAAAAAGAAAGAACATATATGACAGAGGGATTATTTTGTCAGTTTAAGTTTAGATAGATACTCCAGAGAATTTATTTATTTTTGTCTCACTGGGTAGTTTTCAATGGTCTGGAACTTGCTGTAGACTGGGCTAGCCTCAAACTGACAGACCCACCTGCCTCCGTCTCCACAGTATGGTAGAAGAATAAAGGCGTGTACCACTGGGCCTGGCCAGGGTGTGTTTATTTTTTGATGTGTATAGGTGTTTTGTCTGTACATGCACCGTCTCTCATGCCTGTGCCAGACCCCCTGCAACTGTGTAGCCACAGACAGCTGTGAGCCACTGTGTGTAGTGCAGGGAATTGAACCTGGGTCCTCTGGGAAAGCAGTCGGGGCTCTCAACCGCTGGACCATCTCCCCAGCCCTATCCTAGTTTTGTAGTGTGTTCCCTTTAGCAACACCTAACAGAATTTTGACTATTAAAATTTGTCATGCATTAATAACTTTCTCTTGACTCACTGGCTGATGGGATCAGTTAGCCAACTAACATCCACAGTCATGTACCGTGTTTGCACGTTGTAGTGTGATGTGTGTTTTGTTTATAAATACTTTCCCTGCAGTACTTTTATTCATAGATAGAAATTCTCCTGTCTTGGTGTTCCTGTCTCTCCTTTTGTAATGCTTCTGGCTATACATTTTTAGTTGACAACAGGACTTTTCCTGGATAGGTGGGCGGGGCATTCATGTTTGGACACTCAAGTTGGGACACTTCTGTTTACTTTACTGACATGATATTTACAAACCTGAAATTCAAGTCCTAGGAGTAATGCAGACACTAATTATGCCATCAGCACGAGAGAGAAATGACAAGTGAGTCTTCATCATAGCTCCCGAGAATAAATACAAGTCCTTCCCGTTTAAAATACATTTGAACATTAGTGTTGTTGTGTCTGTGTGTATAGGTGTACAATGTGTGTGTGTATAGGTGTACAATGTGTGTAGGGGATTACATGAGTTCGTAGAGCACAGGGGAGGCCAGCACAGTGATGTGAACTGGGTTCTTCTGTTTTCTTTTGGTTTTGTGAGACAGAGCCTTGCTAGGTAGTGCAAGCTTGCTTCAAACTCAAGAAAATCCCCCTGCTTCAGCCTCTTGGGTCTAGGATTACAGTCACACGCCATCACCCCAAGCCTTGTAAATGCTATCTTGGGACTGGAGAGGTGGCTCAGCAGTTAAAAGCACTTTCTGCTCTTGTTCTGTTTCCAGCATCCACATGGCAGCTCAAAACCATCTATCTGTAATTCCAGTTTTGTGGGATCTGACATACTCTTCTGGCCTCCACAGGCACCAAGGATTCATGGGTTTCGAATACATACATGTAGACAAACCACTTGTAGATAAAAAATAAATAAGCCTAAACAAAAATCTCATTTTAATCAGATGGAATGGACGTAAGCGTCTTTAAAATTTTGCTGAAGGCTACCATAGCTTGTAGAGGTGGCAAGGCAACCCCTATTTGCAGGACTTTAGCTTCTCCACTGTCTAGGAGCTCCCTGAAGTGAGATCTTTCATTAACTCAGTTCCCCTTGCAGGCATGATTTCTGCTGGACTGGTTGGAACAGACTGTCTTAAGGTCATTGTGTTACTATGGTTTCTGTCCATGTGGGTGTTTTCTCTGGGCTATT